GGTCCCCAGAAGTTGAGGTAGATTTTCCTTCTGGCAAACAGTGGCCATTTTGGGCAGGTGTCCATCCCATCTCCAATTCCAGATGTGCTAATTAAACTCCAAAGCCTGCCAATCCCTTTCCCGTAGTCTCAGGAGCGACCACACAATGAAGTTATTGAAAGTCCTTTTCCCCCACAGTCCCTGACTGAAATACATTTCCCTGGGCTCCCTTGTAGAAAAAGGAATTATAGCTGAAACCAATTTAAGCCTTGTTGGCACAAATTTGCATCTGTTTACTGTCTCCGCCATAGGTCAGATCATAATAAGAAACACGGAAATATAAAACTTATTATTCCGTCAAACAAATATTTCTTCACAAAAAGCCAAACACTTCGGGCACTGGGAAATGCAAACGATTACCTTTGAAACAATAAAGGGCGCAATTTCTCTACATCAGTGTTTCATCTTCCTTCCAAAATGATGATGTCCAGCTAAGCTCTATAAAACTACACCTGCTTTCAGCAGAAAAGGCCCATTGAATTCAATAAGAATGGTTTCTAAGTAAGAGTCTTTAAGTCTCTGGAAGTAGCAACCTCTAGTACAGTTTCTCCAGGGTCACAAGCCACAGTAAGTCCTAGTTAGTGCTTGGAGAGAGATCTTCTGGAATTACCGGAACTGTAAAACAGATTGCAAAATAAAAAGAATCTCCTGAGATGGAGACTGTGACAAACCACTTCCATCAACAGTAGAGAACTTCAAATTTCTAGGTTCTATCATATCTCAAGACCTAAAATGGACACCTAACATCAAAAATGTCATCAAAAAAGCACAACAAAGAATGTTCTTCCTGCGCCAACTCAGAAAATTCAAACTGCCCAAGGAGCTGCTGATCCAGTTCTACAGAGGTTATTATTGAGTCTGTCATCTGCAGCTCTATAACTGTCTGGGTTGGTTCTGCAACCCAACAAGACAGACACAGACTTCAGAGAGTAATTAGGACTGCAGAAAAAAACAATGGCTACCAACCTGCCTTCCATGGAGGACCTGTATCCTGCACGAGTCAAAAAGGGGCTGTGAAAATATCTACAGATCCCTCACATCTTGGACATAAATTGTTTCAACTCTTACCCTCAAAACGCTGCTATAGAGCACTGCACACCAGAACAACTAGACACAAGGACAATGGCAAGACAGGGCAGCACTCACTTAACTAACGTCTCCCTTGGCAACAGAAATTTTGGGCTCAGTTGTGGTCATAAGTCAAGGACTAACTATCCGACTTGTGTCAATGTTCTTCCTAGTCTCTTCTTATTTTCCACTTCAATGGATGGATTTTAATTGGAAAATTATATCTCAACCTTTAGCAAAACAAAACTATTTTTGGCGACAGGTCCATTCCAGAAGAAATTCTGGCCTATTTCTCAAGTGTTTATAGCCTTGCCTTGAGAACATTATCTATGCAGTAGATTTCTGACTTTTTGGTCGTTTATTTTCAGATTGTGTGTGTGTGTGTGTCTGTCTGTCTGCTTTTGTAATGATACTTTCAGGCCCAATTAAAGTAACAAACTCAATGCCAATGGAATGGTAGGTCCTTAAAAATATGCAGATTAGAATGTTTCAAAAAAAGCTTTGAAATACTCTAAATTTTCCAGGTCAACTGTTAACATCAAAACAAATACGCATTCTCTTTCAAAAATCATTTCATTGCTTTGGTGATTCTGTTCCATTAAAGTAGAGATGGAGCTTAATATAGCTCACAGCGCAATCCTATGCATGTCTCAGAATTCGAGCCTGACGATTTTCAGGTTTTTCATGAGAAAGTCCCACAAAAATTTCATATAAACAGTCACTACCTGTAATTAAAAACCGAGGCTGCTAAGGGTAATTAATCATTTGCTGGTATGAAGAGCACAGTGGTTATTTTTTCTCATTTGGGGACCAATTTTCCTAGCTGGATTTGAGACGGCTGGTTGTAATCAAGGAACTTGGATGCTTCATTTTGTGTCGCAAAAATATGAATCCCCTAAATGGCAAACCAACAGCTTTGCAATTTGGCTGTGTTCTTGCTCTCTCTTTCAAATTTCTCAGATGCTTCAAGAAAAATGGAAGATTATTCTAATTGGTTTGTTGCACAATCAGCCAGATGTTCAGATTGGATTTGACATTTTTTCCCACCTACTGAGTCCTTTCCAAGGACCTTGGATAGGCAAATGTTGAAATATCATGATTATTATTATTTCTTCTTCTTCTTCTTCTTCTTCTTCTTCTTCTTCTTCTTCTTCTTTTCCTCCTCCTCCTCCTCCTCCTCCTCCTCCTCCTCCTCCATCCCCACCTTCAAAAAGAATCAATATAACACCTATGAAGTCAGTTGAACCTTGAGAAGGCAGAAGGGAAAATGTTTTAAAAGAACTGAGTTCTTCCTTCGCTTTCCCCAGCTTGGGTGAAAATTAAACCTACAACTCATAAGATCCATTGGATTCCAACATCAATGAGGGATCGAGCACTTTTTGAATCTCGCGTTTGGATTTCGAATCAAGGCTATCGTTCAGTTTTGGGTTTTGTTTCTTTTTAGCATTCTATCGAATTTTCGTTTGCCCATTATCTCTCTGTTATTCCCCAAGGGCTGCTGGTAGTAATTAAGATCTACATTGCACCCTTTTGTGATATAATTAAACTCAATGTTTAATTAGGAAGCCTAGCCAGGGCCCAACGAAGAGAAATCAATTTTGTATCTAATGGGCCAAGCAAAGATGAGGGAAACATACAGGAAATCTTGAAACGGCATCAAAAATTAGCTGAAAGCTTTTGTCGTTTGCACGAATCGAACCTCACTGTGAAATTCTCCTTACTGAGGCTTTGCATCCCCTTTTGTATTTTGGAAGTTAATTATCGGGTCAAAAGGTGTGTTGTTGTTGTTTTTAAACTGGGACAATTTAGCTAACTTCCCAGGTCGCCCAGCAGCTCAGAATTAGACAGTTACAATAGTAGTAAGGAACGTTTTTTGCTTAACTCCAGGTAGACCTTGACTAACAACCGTTCATTTAGTGCAGTGGTGGCTAACCAGGGGTGGGATTCTTCCAGTTCGCACCTATTTATGAGAACCGGCTGTTAACATTCTAAGCAGTTTGGATAACTGGTTGTTAGAAGAAATTACAGGACTAATCCTGTAAGGAAGGCAGGAAGGAAACATTCTGGTGTTGCTTACAGAAACTGCCTCTCCGTTAACCCTTATTACATTCTTGGCAGGACTAGACTTCCTGTCTCAGGAACATCTCTGGAGTTTTTTTCTTCTCCTTTGCTGGTACTTTGGTTGTGTGGAGTGACCATTCAAAGTTACAATGGCACTGACAAAAGTGACTTATGACCGTTTTTCACACTTATGACTGTTGCAGCATCCCCACAGTCATGAGAGGCCAGGCGAGGAGATGCGTGCCTCGATGTGGGTGATATTGAGTTGGCCATGCCAAACCAATAACATGACCACCAAGCCATGTCCACCCAGTCACATGACCACCAAGCCACGCCCACAGAACCGGTTGTTTAAAAATTTGAATCCCACCCCTGTGGCTAACCTTTTTGAGTTCTCATGCCGATAATGGCGCACACGCTTGCCTGCTCGGGCTCGGGCCATCACCCAGAAGGCAATGCGTGCGTCTCCCCCAGGTCTCCTGTGCATGTGTGTGCGACCTCCCCATGCACGCCGAGTGCTTCTGCACATGCGCGAGTGTGTTCTCCGCACCACCGCGCCCCTGCACATATACACCAGATACCCAAAAAGCTGTTGGGTGGGCAGTGCACACACATTTGCAGTACACCTCTTCTGGGCGAGCGCTCACATGCTGGCAGTAATGGCTCTGCATGAAATTAGTTCACTACCATGGATTTAGTGACTGAAGTTACAACGGCACTGGAAAAGTTTTTCACACTTACAACCAGGGGTGGGATTTCTTTCCTGATTTTTTATTCCTGTTGGGCATTCATGTCTCACTTTGTAATAATATTTTTCTGCACCTCACTTCAAGTGAGGATAAACATTTGTGATGGTTGCCAAACTGAGACCTACTCATTCTGGAAGGGTGGGCAGACCAAGCCATGTATGACAGGTGTTTGTTTATTTTTATTTTTTGGAAACAAAGACTGCTATCTTTTAAAGGAGGGTCTTGGCTCATGAGGTTTATGTTTTCAAAAGACAGCATGAGGCAAATTAGCGTGAAACAAACAAAAAGAGCACTGGGGGGGAATTTGCAAAACCGTAGAGTTACATGAAAGCTATGAGTATTAGAAAGAGCTGCATGGGGAAACTTGCAATATCAACATTAAAACTGGCCATGTTTGATCTACTGGACAGCTGCTAAGTTTGGGTCTTGAGATTTGTCTTAGTGAGTTTAGTAAGACCACACCTGGAATACTGCATCCAGTTTGGGTCACCACACTACGGTATAAAAAGATGTTGAGACTGTTTTGCTATGAGGAATATTGTAAAGGCATGAAAAACCAAGGCCACCCATTGGCACTTGTTGATGGAATTCAAGAGGGGTTGGACTTAGAGCATTTGTGGGAACGTAAGGACTCCAGGTTTGATTCCTCTCTTGACTCCAACTCTAGGCTCTGCCACTCTTTTCCCTAGAAGGATGTGGGAATCAGCTTGGGAGACAGAAGGAAAAGCCGCAGCCTTGGCAATGATCAGATAAAAAGCACCTTAGCCCACAGAAGTAACACGGGGCTGTTCAGAAGGAACCATCCGTAGTTTCTTAGTTGATAATCCAAGAAACCAACCATACCCTTGTAAATAGAAACGGGAATGAAAAAGAACAAAAGAAAGGCAGAAGACAGTATGAAACAAATGAGAAAAACAAGAATCTTAACAATGTCATACAGATGATAGTTTTTCAGTATATTCGTATGCTAGAAATTATAATTTCCCGGTCTATAATTCATTCAACTTTTAGGATCCATGCAAAACAAGTATAGGAAAAAGAGTAATTTTCTCCAATGGTTGGTCATGTAGAGAACTTACTTACTTTTTGGGTCTATAGTCTGGAATAGATCTGTCCAAGGAAATCCGATCGCTCAGTTGCGCATTATAACCATATTCTTCGTATTTCGTTTCAGATTCATGGCTGTCGTCTCTCAGTGTGGCAGCCATTCCTCCTTGGCCCAAACCTCCTGGGCCTTCAACTAATCCCATTGGCTTGGCTAGACCTGGGAAGAAAAAGAAGGAAATACAGGCGCACTCAGTTTGGAAAATCAGGGGAGTGGGTCAGAGATATAGAGTTAAGCGCAGAGTAAGTCAGGAAGCCCAGGACAGAAAGGTTTATTGCAAGCTTAAGCTCTCTACAAGAATATGAACTACTAATGGCCAAAGCAAACTGGGGGTAGAGAAAAATCAATGCAATTCAAGATGGGCTGGACTTAGATCTCTTATAGGTGCAAAGGGACTCAAGACTGATGATACACTTGATTCCCCCCTCCTTGGGCCCAGCCTAGTCATCTCCTACATGGATGGATGGATGGATGGATGGATGGATGGATGGATGGATGGATAGACAGATGATAGGTAGGTAGCTAGGTAGGTAGATAGACAAACAGACAGTCAAGAACTTGAAATCAGAGCCCAGCCAATTTAAATGAATATATAGGTTTATTGTATGCTAACACTCTCTACAAGAATCAGAACTACTAATGGTCAAAGTAAATTGGTGGTAGATAAGAGTCAATTAAAATTCTAGGTGGGTTCACTGAGATCTCTATAGGCATGAAGGAACTCAAGACGGATGATGTATTTGACCCCTCCCTCAGGCTCAGCTTGGTCATCTCCGACACATAAATAGTCCAATTGGAGCCCCCACCACTTCCTTTCTGTTGTCCCATCCCAGGAGAAACTTCATGTACACCAAAACTGCAAACGTCTCTGGCTGGAAACCAATTTCATTCCATAGACGGATAAAAATGTCAAATTCAGCCTTAATATCTGTCTGACTGTGCAACGAACCATAATAAAGACACACTCTCTCTCTCTTGTGGATCTTAGACCTGCTAATTGAATAAATCAAGGTTTTTTGTCATTGTAGGAAGAAACATGGTGTCCAATGCCCATCACTCCTAAGTACCTGTCTATGGAGATTGTCAGTCATCCAGGTCATGGTTGTCCCAAAGGTACTCTTCCAAGAGGCAATTGGACTTTCTTGTTTTTCTTTGAAGATGTTGTGGAGACGCTTCTTGGATGAGAAGCGAGATGTCTTCAAGGAAAAACAAAGGAAGTCCAGCTACGTCTTGGTTGGGAACTCCTAAGTATTAATAATTGCTTACTTTGTGACATCAGTCTTCACACAAATTCAGAAATCTTCCCCAGGTTCCCCAACTAGATCCTGGAATGCATAAAGAGGGAGAGACCGGGGAGACAGGAAAGCAGTCTTCCAATATTTGAGGGGCTGCCCCAGAGAGGAGGTAGTCAAGCTATTTTCCAAAGTACCTGAAGGCCAGACAAGAAACAATGGATGGAAACTGATCAAGGAGAGATTCAATCTGGAAATAAGGAGGAATTTTTTTGACAGGGAGAACAATCAACCCATGGAACAGAAGTTGCCTTGAGAAATTGTGGGAGCTTCATCACTGGAGGCTTTCAAGAAGAGACTGGACTGCCATCTGTCAGAAATGGTGTGGGGTCTCCTGCTTGGGCTAGATCAGTGGTTCTTAACCTGGATGATATTGCCCCCCAGGGGGTGATTTCATTTTTCAGGGGGGCGATGGAACAAAAAGGGGCGACACAGGGGCGAAGGAATGGAAGGGGGGTGATATGGGGGCGATGGAGCGAGAAGTTTTGGCGACACTTTTGAGACTTTTTTCGTACAGTGAACCGCCGTATATCTGTCGTACAAAAACATCAGATCGCTCACTATTAGTGGATTGAACTGTGTTTTAAAATGTTCCTCCAGCTAGCTTCAGTACAGAACGCCAGACATGTGAATACGCATCGCTCATCTTCCATGCATGTTGCGCAGCAACCTCTATCACTCTACCCATTAAATTTGTCGCTCTGATTTTTGTTGCTTTCCTTCTGTAAACATTTTCTTTGTGTCTTTTTAACCCTTTTTGACAGTGCATGAATATATATTTTCCTCCGATCTTAATTTAGTTTCAGAGTTTTCGTCTTGAAATTCTGAGTTCCTGCTTTGCGGTTTGTTCTTATGCCCTTTTTATATTTCTTTTTGCGTCTTAAAATTCACTTGTAATTAAATCATTAAATGTTACTGGTTTTTTCGGGCATTTCATTTTCTTGCAACTGAATTTTGTTTTCAGTGGTCTTGAATAAGTGTCTTGAATAATAAATAAGATAATAATGAAATACATGTGTCACAAAGTTTAGGAGTAAAGTGATGGGTGGCATCAGAATTTTTCACACAGTTGAGATATGGGGAAAAGACTGGAAATTAATTATTTGCATCTATATGTCCTGATGACAATTTTAAAGAAAACAAAAAACGTGTTTACATACATTGAAGAATTATTTCCCTGTGTTCTGATTGAGAGGTTATGTTGGAGGAGGGAGGGTGATAATAATTTCCTCAATGGCTCAAGGGGGCGATTCTTTCAAAAAGGTTAAGAACCACTGGACTAGATGACTTAGAATAGAATTCTTTATTGGCCAAGTGTGATTGGACACACAAGGAATTTGTCTTTCGTGCATGTGATCTCAGTGTACATAAGAAAAAAAATAAAATACATTCATCAAGAATCATAAGATACAAACCTTAGTGATAGTCATAGGTTACTATAAGCAATCAAATCATACATAGGTTACTAATACGCAATCAAAACATACTAGAAAACAAGTAAAACAATATAAATTGTAAAGATACAAGCAACTATAGTCATAAGTGGGAAGAGATAGGTAATAGGAAGGATGAGAAGAATAATGGTAATACAATCTTGGTAAATAGTTTGACATTGTTCTGGGAGTTAGTTGTTTAGCAGAGTGATGGCATTCGGGGAGAAAAACTCCCCTTGTGTCTAGTTGTTCTGCTGTGCAGTGCTCTCTAGTGTCATTTTGAGGATAGGAGTTGAAACAGTTTATATCCGAGATGTGAGGGGTCCATAGATATTTTCACAGCCCTCTTTTTGACTCGTGCAGTATACAGGTCCTCCATGGAAGGCATTGGTTGGTAGCCATTGTTTTTTCTGCAGTTCTAATTATCCATTGAAGTCTGTGTCTGTCTTGTTTGGTTGCAGAGCCAAACCAGACAGTTTAGAGGTGCAGATGACAGACTGAATAATTCCTCTGTAGAACTGGATCAGCAGCTCTTTGGGCAGTTTGAGTTTTTTGAGCTGGCACAGGAAAAACATTCTTTGTTGTGCTTTTTTATTACATTTCTGATACCAGGTGTCCGTTTTAAGTCCTGAGGTATGAAAGAATCTAGAAACTTGAAGGTCTCTACTGTTGATGCTGTGTTGCCTAGTATTTTAAGAGATGGTAGTATAGGAGGGTTTCTCCTAAAATCTACCACCATTTTTACAGTCAAAATTTTTACGATTTTGACTGTATTTAGTTCAACATTGTTCTTTGTGCACCACAAGGCTAGTTGTTCAACCTCCCATCAGATTCATCGTCGTCTCAAATTGTAATTGTCTCTTATAAGGTCCCTTCCAACTCTCTTAATCTACGGTAACTATAATGGCTTTCAAATTTTGAACCCTGCTTGCTGATCTATCTGGTCCCTCAAGAGAATCCAGAGACATTAACAAAAAGCTTGTCGATAAGTTTGTGCTTCAGTCTTCTTGTACCCCAGCAGTGCTGGTAGACACAATAGCATTGCTTAGCTTTTCTGTCTCCCAGGACATAAAATTCATTACTATTTTTTAATTGGAAGTGATACTACATTTATGTGTACAGATCTCCAGTATCAAAATGTAATTGCTTTTAAGCAATCCTCATTTGAAGCATGCTTCCCCTGGAGAGGAGGAGATGGAGTCTAATTACAAGAGATAATTTGAAAGAAGATAAACAAATAACAGAAGATCACCAAGGTCAACAATGGATCCACGCAAAAGGTGCTAGAAGTAGGTTTCGCAGAACCGGCAACCATAGATTTGATTAAATATTATCCACCTATCATTAACTGGCCATTATGAGTGAAGATTTTTTGAGGGTGGGCCAATAATCTGGATTGGCCATATTAAGGGAATGGAGGGGCAACTTTGGGAGATAGAAATATTGTGATGGAGACATTGTGTGAGTTCCCTAAGCTTCAAGTGAAATGGAGGATATTGTCCCAGGGTCCAAGACTCAACTGTCCATCTCAATGACTTTGGGGTCCTTAGTGCTGTCTGAGCTTGGTTACTTTCTCGCAGACGTTTCACTACCCAACTAGGTAACATCATCAGTGTTGGAAAGGAGTGGCATTTGCTCTCTTTTAATACCATGATTAACAGAAGACCAAAATTGCCCAATCAAGGAACTACCAACTCAGACAAACGATCAAAGATTATACAACAGTCCAATCAAGGAGCCACCAAATACTCCTTATTAACACTTACATGGGAAGCCACTTGTATATAAAAGGAGAGCAAACCCCACTCCCTTTAACACTGATGGTGTTACCTAGTTGGGTAATGAAACATCTCCAAGAAAATTACTAAGGTCAGAGAGCACCAAGTCCTTCTCCTTCTTCTTCTCCTCTCCACACCCCCCACTTCCTTCTAATACTGATGATATTACCTAGTTGGGTGATGAAACATCTGCAAGAAAATGACCAAGTTCAGAAGAACACCAAGGACCCCACAGTTTAAATCTGAGCTACAAATATTTTCTTATAATGGTATCAGATAACTTTTCTGTATGGAACAGGAAGGTGAATCTGAACATTGGAAAGATTTGGGATGTGTCATCCATCCATCAGATGATTCACTAAACACCCCAGTGACACACTAGACAACTAACTAACTAGACAACTTAACATACATTGATCATAGGTTGATTGGCTAGTCTAGTAAGAGAAGGACCAGGGGAGACATGGTAGCAGTGTTCCAATATTTGAGGGGCTGCCACAAAGAGGAGGAGGAGTCAAGCTATTTTCTAAAGCACCTGTAGGCCGGACAAAGAATAATGGATGGAAACTGACCAAGGAGAGATTCAACCTGGAAATAAGGAGGAATTTTCTGACAGTGAGAACAATCAACCCATGGAACATAAGTTGCCCTCAGAAGTTGTGGGAGCTTCATCACTTGAGACTTTCAAGAAAAGCCTGGACCGCCATCTGTCAGAAATGGTGTAGGGTCTCCCGCTTGGGCAGGAGGTGGGGGGTTGGACTAAATGACCTACAAGGTCCCTTCCAACTCTGATTATCTGTTAACCTGGAAAGAACTCAAAATCTCACCAACGTTCAGTCCAAAGCTTAGGTGGCTTTCCAATTGACCCTTGAAAAATGTCTTAGCTAGGTCTATTACCAAGATCATTGTAGTGGTAGCAGTATATTGGTTTGACTATATGAGATCTATTCCTATCTCTTTCTCATAATGTTCACATTATGCACAATCACATCCCCGCTTTGTTCCTGTCTCTTTTTTTTAAGCTAAAAAGGATCACTGCTTTTTCATTATTATTTTTTTTTTTACTTAGATGGGTGTTTTCTTTTTCACTTTCCCAAAAGGTAAAAACCCTCACATGTCTTCCACTCTTGAATGCTTGCATCATCAAGAAATGCTTCCTCCTGGGGGGTGGGGAGACCTCCCATTTCACATGTTTACGATCTCTTTGTCCCCTTCGATCTGCAATATCCATGTTGTGAAGCACTTGAGAAGGTTCTATATGTGTCGAATACATTCACGCTGTCTCCTTCTCCCTTTCTTCCCCCACCCCTCTCTCTCATTTTAAGACTCCCACCTCAAGATATGAATCAGAAGACTGGAATATTTATAACTAAGAGTCCTCAGCAGATTTGGGAGGGCAAAGATGCAGGCTGGAAACTCCTGGGATGAAAGATGACCCGAAGAACAAAGAGAGAGAGGGAAGAGATACTAATGCTATGGTACCCAAAGTGCTGCTAGGCAACCGCATCAATCATGTTTCTTTCTTCCCTCACCTTGCCACTCAAGGAAACTAAGGACTCTTCTTGTCATTGGACCATTTGCTCCCTGACTGGAGAGCCCAAAGGCATTTTGCTTCTCATCCAAGAAGCTTCTTTGGTTCTGGAGAACTGAAGAAGCTTCTTGGATGAGAAGTGACACCTCTTCAAGCAAAAACAAAGGAAGGTCCAGTTGCCTTTTGAACAAGCACCTTTGGGACAATGGTGACCTCTCCATAGACATCTGACTGGAGATGTTCCTCAGGATGACATGAAGGAACCATCAACCATTTGAAGAGCCTTACCAATAAGGAGTGATGGGAGACTCCCAGCAAGGCAGGGGAGGAGGAGTCAAGCGGGGAAATAGCCGTGAGTCCCTTCAAGAAACCATATCTGTTTGCTACCAAGGAAAGGCAAGGAGTCTGAGGAGATTCTTGTAACATAGGCAGAAAGCAATAAAGTTGCTAATTGGGTGTTTCACAAGTGGATCTGGTGTCTTATGCTGGATGAGGAGGCACAATTAGAGTCTAGGTCCAAACTCACCTTTCATCTAAATGCAGATATTCCTCAACTCCCAACCATTTATTTAGTGACCATTCGAGGTTAAAAAGGCATGGAACAAAGTGGCTTGAAACCAACCCTCACACTTATGACCACCGTAGCATTCCCATGGTCATGTGATCAAAACTGGCAACCGGCGTCTGTTTACAACAGTTGCACTATCCTAGGGTCACATGGCTGCCATTTGTTACCTTCCCAGCCGACTTCCAAGATGTTAAGAGCTGTGATTAGAATGCAGTACTGCAGGCTAACTCACTGCTCACTTCAGGAGTTCGATCCTGACTAGCTCAAGGTTGACTCAGCCTTTCATCCATCCCAGGTGGGCAAAATGAGGACCCAGATTGTTGGGGACAAGAGGCTGATTCCTGTAAACCGCTTAGAGAGGGCTGTATAGCACTGTGAAGCTGTATATAAGTCTAAGTGCTATTGCTATTTCTTTGCTCTTTCCTTCCTTCCTTCCTTCCTTCCTTCCTTCCTTCCTTCCTTCCTTC